ACACACCTGACCAGAGGTGGAAGAAGTACTCAGATATTGTACTTAAGTAAAAGTATAGGTACCAGAGTGTAGGAATACTCTGTTACAAGCAAAAGTCCTGCATTCAAAATGTTACTCAAATAAAAGTACAAAAGTATGAGCATCAAAATATACTTAAAGTACTCATTATGCAGATTGGCACATTTCAGTATAATATATTATACCTTTTGATTATAATTATTGATACATTTAATGCGTTTATCAAGCTGGTAAAGGTGAAGCTAGTTATTATTGCTTTGTATACTCCAGGGTCGATTATGAATTTACTCCAGGTGTAACTAAAGTCTCATAAGTATTATCCAAATCGGTAAAATAACTAAAAGGTATACCAAATGAAGTGGAGTAAAAGTACTCTATTCCCCTCTGAATTGTAGTGGGGTAGAAGTACAAAGAAGCAACACACTGAAATACTCAATTACAGTACAAGTTCCTCAAAATTGTACTTAAGTACAGTACTTGAGTAAATGTACTTAGTTACTTTACACCACTGCACCTGTCCTTGGTTATCTCAACAGCAGAGGAAAACAGTAAAGTGCTGAGCAAGTATTTAACGAGGGTCACTTGAAAAACAGGTGACTTTAGGCTCAACAATAAAAGTAAGGAAACACAGTGTCCCACACCCAAGACACCAGCGTTGTGACTGTAAACTCCCCAACATGACACTTTTAAACTGAATTAAAACAAGTTGAAAACGACAGAGAACAACGCCGAAGTGTCTGTCAAAGCATATAAGGTTTTCTTACATTGTTTGAAAAGTTTCTGTAGTGTTGTAAACAAGGTAAAATCCGTTGACAAGTCGTTAAACCAGCTAATGTGCGGCTAGCTGGGTAGTTAGCTACTTCCGCTTCCCTGTCAACTGCCACAACTCGAACAACTATGTTGACAGGAGAAAGGAAGACAGATATTTATCTTGGGAGTCAATACTTACAGGTAAACCTCCTCTTGTTAAAAACCAGTTGGTTACTCCTCCTTCTTCACGGTATGTGAACTTGGTAACTTCTGGATTCCTTCAGTGGCTTTTCAACGTCTGGCCGTCCCGAAGTGTGTCGCGTGGTGCCTTTAAGGACTGTCGGAAAGATCGCGATTTCCAAAGCCGAGCAAATGTTTACTGGCTTTATAAACTAGGAGGAAGTTTGCAACTAAGCAATGGTGGAGTACTCAGATATTATACTTAACTCAAACAGCACTATTCACGATTATAATGACTCTATTGCAATTAAATGAAATTAAATGAAACGTCCTGTCCAGCTCTCACCAGCAGCTGTAGAGTATTTACCTGCTAACATTGTAAAGACTGTAGTGTACTTAAAAGGAGAAAAGTAGCACCAAAAAGGGAAGTACTGAATATGAAAAAAGTTCATTCGAAAACAATGTATATTATATTATGCTTTCATTATGCTGCATCACTTTAATGTTGCAACTAGTAAATGTGGGATTCATTTACATTTAAATATGTTATTTACTGCCCCACCTTTACAAGCACTGAAGTGGAAGTAAATAAAAAACAGAAGATGGAAATACCATAAATGGAAATAAAGAAGTCAACTAAAGCACACGCAGCCTACTTCCATGTTATACAGTAAGCACAATAAAACTGTAATTATATGACTTGGTAATAAATAGATTAGTTAGAAAAAACGTTTTTTTTCGGTGCAATGATCCTTTCCTTAATTATGTTGCAGCAAAGCACATTATACCTAACTTTTAGTTTAAATACATGGCCGAATTTTTTTTGATTAATTGTAATTCAAACAAGGAGGAAGGAAGGAGCTTTCTATGAGCTCTTGAACGCAGCACATGGTCGTGCGCATGTCCTGTCATATGACTCCAGAGGAAAGAGGCGCTGCTCATTTCCCCCACATGGGTGCAGCATTTACCCTTCACCCAGACCTCCCCCTCCCCTTCCCCCCTCTACTTTACATGAAGATAGACTGCTGCTGAATATTTTTCATAGTGCTTCTGAGAGGTGCTCTGAAATACGAGCCTCTAGCATTGAATCTGCTGTGTAATTCTCAAAGTTTTATGGTTTAAAGTAACCACCAAAGCCCATTCAAGGTGACTGCAAAGACACCGGGCAGAGTGCCAGCCAAGATATCAACTGACAATGTCTAAAAGCCTAGTGTTTAGTTTTTTACCCTCTCTAAGGCCAGATAAATATGTGTCCCTGTTGGGTCACCTATCGCTTAATACGTACAAGCTGAACATTTTATAACAACTCCAAATTTGCACAAGGGATGCTCCAGAGATGCCCTCTTCGAACTGCACACTGTGCCTGAATGGTGCCCAGCTCTCTCTACCCATGTATCTTTTATAGAGTCTACATAGCATGCATTATTCAGCAATAACACACGGTCCATCTGGACTCCTGTGAGTGTGTGCCTATGCATGAGTGTGTGGTCTATAGTTAACTTTCCTGCTGTGCCATTTCACCATTTCACGCCACATCCAACAGTGCTTGAAGAGCCATTAGTATTTCCTCTGTAATTACAATTATAATGTGAGTGTGTTTGACAGGGGATGTGTGTGTGAGGGAGAGTGCGAGAGGGGAAGGAAGTAGAGGAAAGAAAGAATAGAAAGTAGTGAGAGTAAGAGAGATAGATTAAGAGAATGTGTAATAGTGACTACAGATGGCACGTTCAGGATCAAGTTCTTTCATCATGCAGTTCCTCATTAATAGAGACGGAAGCGCTGCCCTAATTCCATAATTCCTAAATCATGCCAGTTAGTTGAATACGAGGAGACAAAAATACAGGGTAGAGAGGAGAATAGATTAGCCTATAGCCCGATAATGTGTCAGTGAGAGCGAGAAATCAACACAGAAAGAGATGAAGAGAGGAGAAGAACGGAGCGGGGTCGCCATCTGCATTTCCTGGGAATTCTTTTTGGTTGTTGCCAAAACCAACATCATATAGGCCAAATTTATTCTCGCCAATTAATTTCCCACGTGTACGCCAGCCAATGAAAATAGCTGGAATAATCAGGTGATTAATAAGATCTAGAAGTGAATACATGGGGATAAAACAGTGTGTGTGTGTATGTGCATGTGTTTCAGTGGCACAGCCCAGATCAGCAGTTTCCCATGATTTGAAGCAGCACATCTGTTAAATCCTGGCGCTGTTCCAGTCAGATCACACATCCATCTTTCCTCTCACAAGGATTGAGACATGGGAAGCTTTCGAGGCCTCGCTTGATGGGGCTTAATTTTACGTTAGGCCAATCCCACTGGTACCTGATAGTTGTCAGGGCGAAGAATTGGCTGACCAAGCGTGCGTTTCAACATTCACAGATAATTTCATTCCCTCGTCTCCTTTTCACTGGAATGTACTCTTCCTCCGTTTGAATTGGGCTCCCATATGAAGCAATTTGATGGAAACCAGAGACATCGATAGCCATTAGCCCGCTTTTCACAGGAGGGCCAAACATGGACAGCCAAGGTTCATCTATTATTCATGCACCTCACTTTTCCCCAAAAACAACGTTTCTGATATTCTTTTTGCACCAGCGGCAACTCAGTGGTTTCAAATAACGCTTTCAGAACAGGACTGATAAATGTTTCAAGCTATAGCACTGGCCAGTACAAGCCCTAATGGGGGGTAAGAGTCTATTGTCCATCTGTCTATTCATGTCTGGATCTAAAGAAAACCTATTGAGCTCAAAGAGGAGAGGAAATATTTCATATGCAATTTTTGGGACATTAAGCCTTTAGGCATTAACATAATTTAATGGTTTCATGTCTTGCTCAAGGACATCTGACTTTTGATAGACATACAAGTTTTGGCAAAATGGAGAAATACTTTAAATTAGTACTACATTGAAGTTCTACTTTTGTACAACTACAGAAATATTATTTAGAAAAAGGAATCAAAACTAAAAGTACGAGGTAAAAAAAAGAGACAGTGCTGGAACACACATTTGCATACCTTTCTTCTCTTATTTTTGTTTTTTAAATAATAGAAAATGTTACCTCGTCGGGCCTCAAACATTGATTAAAATTAAACAATATGAAATGATTAGAGGGTAATTCTGTTTTTGGTGGACATTTTAACAACTCATAAGTCAACTTTCTGTCCAACTGCACCACATATCCAGACTGAGCAGAAGAAAAAAACAATCATGCACCCTTTTACTCACTATATGCAAATATTAGGGGTTAAGATAAACAGTTTCTGGTACTAATTCTGCAATGAAATGTAAGTGGTCACAATCCCAAACTGTTGGTAACAACGTGTTAAATCTTGAACAGCGTATTTTAAAACCTCATCATGTGTATTTAAAAAAATATATGTTTGTGCCTTTATAAAACCAATGAAAGTGAGAGGGAGAATGGAAATGGTGTGGCTAGGATCAAATTGGGTAATTTGAGGTGAAATTACAAAGATTTAACAATTTTGGGTATTAAGGACCTCACATCATGTGTTTTTTAAGGAAAATCTGAAAAGTCAATCTTAACTATAGCTATAAAGACAATTTAGTTGAGTAAAAAGTACAATATTTCCCTCCAAATGTAGTGAAACAGATGTATGAAGTAGCAGAACATGGAAATATCTCAAGTAAAGTAAACAAACATATGTACAGTTCTTGAGGAAATGCACTTGGTTATTTTCCATCACTGAGGCCACACTGCTGGAAATCTGATGGAAACAAGAGAGGAAAGGTTATCAAGCTATTCAGTCTCCATGTTGTCAGCAGTTCAGATTAGCTGTCACATCACTGAGGGAGAAACAGCTGAAGATTGGAGAAAGTGATTTCATCTGAATAATTTCATGCTTTGACTGGCAGAGCTCAATGCTTACCATCCCAAGACTTTGACGTCAGAGGAAGATAGACTGAGCAAAAATAACACCAAGGTGCAGTCTAATATATGAATATACAATCATGTGTCCTTTGGGAAGAAAAACAAAAACCAATCAAATGAAAATTAATTCACATCTCGGCTGAAGAAATTCCACTCACTTGGATTATTTCGAGTAGACAAAAAAACAATCTTTATTTGTGTGTTTCTCTCCTCGCTCTGACTTCTGTGTTTACTTTTGACTGACTGACTTTAATGACTGAGGTCAGCTCCCACAAAAACATCACAAACAGAAAAGGAGACAAACTCATACATGACGCTCAGACCTGGAGGCATCCTACCACTACCAACCATGGATCACAAACCAGAGAAGAAGAACGATAGAAGGACAGCATCAGTGGAATAGAAGAAGAGAAAACACATTTTTTGTAATCTTCCACAGGCTATACCCCATCACTGCATCCCACACAGGAGTAATTAACAGTGATTTTAAATGCTACAAAAATAAGATGAAACAGGGAAGGAAGTGCTTCCCCTTGTTTGTGTGTGTGTGTGTATGTGCATGCCATGTCTTTGTAAATGTCTAGATCTGCATGTGCTTTTCTACAAATGCCTGTATGTGTGTGTATCTGTACAATGGTTGTCAAGTGTTTATGTATGTGTGTGTTCACAGTGCTTACTCATTATGTTCACTTCCCAACATTAAAGAAGTCTCAGTCCCATGACACACACACACACTTTCTCCTCCGATCCCTCTCTCTTTGTGCAGTTCCCTTTATAGTCATGTCCATAAATGCTCCAAAAAAATCTCAGAGGAACCGTCCCATTATCAAAGACTGTGTTCGTGTGCTTGTATATGTGTGTGCATGCGCGTTTTTGTGATGCTACCACACAAACACACACACTTCGCCTCATTTGCCACAGTCTATGCGCTTCCCTTATTGGTTTAACCCTCGGACCCAGGACCAGCTTTAGTCAGTATTTATGTCCATTGTGATCTAGCCTGGGCTCTGAGGGCTGATTTCCAGTCAGTTTCACCCTGTGGGTCCATTTATCTCACGCCCAAGCTAATCCATCAACGACCGAAAGCCAGACAGAGGAAACGGTGTGAGGAGAGAGGTTGATTATTCCTTCTTTTGATGTCGGAAAAAAGGGAGAGCACGAGAGCGGTAGCAGGGTGTTTCTGATTTTCCCCCATGAAAAAATATATCATCATTACAAACGAGATCTGAAGGTTTCACAGTGGTCATGCAACTTGAGTGTCGCCTCCTTTTGTCACCTGTTTGTCTTCGCTTCACTCTCCTCCTGCCCGCCCACACCATCCCTCAAAAAACCCCAGAGCCAGTCCGAGACAAAGGTACTGTAAGTGACCACAGTCATAATAATACAGAAAGACAAAGAGGTGGGTGACCAGTGGTACATTCATACATGAAAAAGTCATGGTTCCAAAAGTCACCCGACCCAATCGACATTAGTCAGTGCTGAATACACCTGTGCTAGCCAGGCTGTGATAAATGCTTTGTTTAGAAACATGAATAAGACAGAACACATCCCACCTGAAAATATACACCTCACCCAACCCACCCAGAACTACACACACCCCACCCTCCCTCTGAAACAGGCTATGATTATACTTGTCATTTTAAATGTGTATAGTTTTTTATATCACACTGCTGTAAACTGAGTCTAAACACATATTCCATTACATTTCCCATATGGCCGTCGTCATTTAAATCTGTGCCCACATTGTCTACCCTTTCTTTTTTCTGCAGGCCAGGTCACTTTCCTCCTCTCCATCTCTACACGTTCGCTCTGGTTCTCGCTGTACTTGGACCTGGTCCAGGTAGTATAGAATTCCAATTACAATGCAAGCTTGGCCACTTCCAATTCTTGGTTTGACAATGGGATAGCAATGTGAGAAAAATCCAATTTTTGTGCATCCAGGCCTATCGCTTAATGCATCCTGCCGTGATTGGATGATAGGAATTGCGCTGGAACGACAAATTTAATCATAGCCGCGGCTACATCTACCCCATCAGTGGCCAAGAGTCAATAGACAAATCAAAAGGACCCCTTGATATGAGTGCAGAGTCATTCCCCTTGTGTTTTTCAGCCGAGAGTCGCTGTTCCACCCAGACTTCAGGGATCAGGGATGGAGCGCAGCTTCCCACACAGCTGGAGCCCCAACCCTCTCAGCCAGGCCGGGGGACGGTGTCCGTGGCTGGGCCATAGAGGGGGCTGGCAGTGGGGGTGGTTGGTGGTCGTATAGAGGTGGAGGTGGGAGAGGGGGGAGGGGGGGACGGAGACAGAGGGCTTCCCTGAGGGGTGGTGGATTTAGAGGGACAGCCAGCCCAGCCCAGCGACCCTGGGTGGGAGCTCCAGGAGGAGAGGGAGAGGGGTCACAGCCAGGAGAAGACTCCCAGGAGCAGAGAGGCCAGAACAGCTAACAGGGCCACGGACCCTGGCCTCCGGCACGGACCTCCGTCAGTCAGGAAGGGCTCCGGAGAATCATATCCCGACCCATCTGAAACAGAAAACGAGAGAAACGACAAAACATCTGAACTGAGAGAGACACACAGACAGACACCAAGACAAGACAATCTAAAACAAAGGGAATAGAGGAGGGAGTGGATTTACAGAAAGACAAAAGGGTAGACAAGTGGAACTATTACGGGGGGAGGGAAATGTGGAAATGGAGTGACAAACCACAAAACTCTCACGCTTCAAAAGCCAGGAAAAATGGCAGGGAGTAGACGAGAGAGAGGGATGAGGGGAGAGGAAGGGGGAGAAGACGACAGCAACTGAGCTCTGCAGGGGGTTTAACCAACCTAATTACAGTTTAATCACAGAGACTCAGAATCTGGAGCAGCTGACACACACACACACACACACACACACACAAAGACACACATCCTCTCACACACATGTGCTCACAGCTCCGCCAGTGACAATATTTCACAGATGAGATGGAAGTTGCATGTCAGACAGATTGCTTTAAGAGCACAAAAAAGCAGAATAAATGACAGAATAAAAGAACGTATGTTGTTTCAGTAATTATGGAGGAGAAGAGATGTTCCTTCCCCCTTAGCGAGAGATGGAATGATTTGAGTCTGGAAAGCTTACGAAGATCTTCAAAGCCGTGTCATTATCTAGGGAGACGTGTTTCTAGCCAGCTTTGATTCTTTAGTCAGGCTTAGGTTGAAAACTCATGAGGAAGAATCCGCCTTTGAAAAGTCTTACAGGTAGATTTCTTTAAGATAAGGCAGGTGTAAGTGGAGCGCCACAATCTGCTCCCCATATATTCTTGAGTTCTTTTGAAATGGCACTATCATCGGCCAACACTGTGTGAGTACTGCGTCCTGTCAGAGGAAGCTATTTTCAAAAGAGTATATCTTATCAGGCTGCATGCTGTTCGGAAGAAAAGACTCTTTTTCCACAAGCCTGATGCATAAGGAGAATTTTATTAAGAAAAATATGAAGTGTCTATTATTAGATTAGGCTTCTACAGTATGCGATGGGTTTATTATTAGATTGCTCTCTTGTTTCTTATGAGCGAATGCAGCCAGCAACGTTTTAACGGAGCACTTTCAGCCTGCTTTCTTTCTACAAGGACAGAAGGTCTCCCTCACACCCACTGTGATGTGATGTGATTTGATGTGAAGTGCGTATGCCACTTTGTGCTTTTGTGTGCATGCGCCTGTGCTCACTTGTGTGTGCTCGTATGTGTGAATGTGTGTGTGTGAGTGAAAGGTGTTAACGTGTTGCCTGGCTGGTCTGTGAATCAGAGCAGAGAGTGTTGCTGGGGCAATCTATCAGACCTCTTATTCCCCTCTAATTTTACTTTGATAGCCAATCTGGACCTTTTTGCGCATTGGGTCTCAAGGTGTGTGTTTGTGTGTGTGTGTGTGTATTTAAAGCGTGACTTACCTGGAGGTCTGACATACACCTTCAGCTTTAGACATGCTCGCCCCACGTGGTTTGGGTGAGGAGACGCTGTTAAAAAAGCAGAGATTGAAAGAGGAGATTAGTTGAGAGATAAAGCGATTTGTGCCGCTGATTGAACTCCTAAAGTCATTTAACACTTGTGATATTAGGCTCATAATCAGGTGAGGGCAAAGACACTAGTGTAAACATACCATTTGACCTGTTTTTATTTAAAGATGTATGTCTTTTTGAATGAATAAGGATCAGATTTGGGGTATGAGAATTTTATAGAAAGACAGCATTGGTTTGGGTTTTTTAATGGGATTCTTTATACAATAAGCAAAAAAGGATACCCCAGCCTTATACTAAGGTCACCTAGCTAAATGCCTTTATCCGTTCAGTTGATATTTTAAAAAGTGGCGCCTGTTCTCAAACTAATTTAATACTATTCATATTACCACAAAACAGCTGACACAAGCTGAACCCGGGGCTTTCAAGGTCCCTCAGGAGTCTGACAGGAGGGTCATAGGTTGGATTCCCACAGCAAATCAACACCAAACTTTCATTGAACCCCAATTATTTTTAAGCCACCATGCCTATTTATGGGACGGCAGGAAGAAACAAGACATCCTTAGTTAATCACAGATACAATGAAAATCATTACACGGCAGAATGTTCTATTTGTTACATGAATAAATATATTGGTCTTTTTTTCTTCTTGTAAAATCAGTAAGTAATAATACAGCAAGCAGAACACAAATACACTTCTGTAATTGAAATTAAAATGTCAGAGGTGGTAAATGAAGGGAAGGTATTATTAAAAAACACTCGCTTGTCATAATTTGACATGAATGTAATCATTTAAGCAGCCTATTACTTTCTTGATGACATTTATTGCTTCAAGCAGCCGGAGAGTTTCTTATTTTAAGGCCTTTCAAGTTCTCTTAAACCCATGCTCCCGAGCTCATGAGCTCCCGTAAACACTCTGAGCTCTTCAGGCTATGTAAATAAGTCTTTGAGGGATCAGCTCACACACTTGGATTCAGTCACAGTCACATTCATACCTAGGGGAAATACCGGCTCTTCCAATCCACCTGACTTGAATGTCTAAGGAATTGGAAAGGAAATGCATTCAGACTCCCCACAGACGCAGGTCCTCCTTGCTGTGAGGTGACAGAGCTAACCACTGAGCTACACCGGCTGAATGTTAAAAAAGTGACTGTGATTCAAACTTCAAAGTATAGTAAATTAAATTGAATCAGGTTTCAGCCCCAATTCCCTCTGATGTGAAATAGAGCTGGAGACCTTAAAGCAGATGGTGACCAAATCTTTGACCGCTTGCACATGCGGGGGGTGCACACACACACACACACACACACACACACACACACACAAACACACATATATGCCAGGATGTGCACACACACACACACACTGGTGCTTGCAGACGTGTGTGTGGAGACCTATTGGCCTTCTCCCTTGTGGAAGTCCGTATAGCCAGAGCCCCGTGTGACCCCGGAGAGGACCATCATCAGGATCTGCAGCGCACAGGAAATAAATCTGACCCTTCCTGTGACCCTCTCCTCCCTCACTTTCTGTCCACTACTCCTCCCTCCCTCTCTCTGCCCTTCACCTCCTTTAACCTTTTATCCCTTCCCTGTAGCCCCCCTTCCTTTGCCTCAAATTTCTTCAAATCATCCACCTAGAAACTGTATCTTGGTCACCTATGAAACCTGGCAAGCTATGAAACAAACTTTCTCTCCTGCTGCGTCCCTTTGTTTTGGTTCCCCTGCTGCTTCACTGACAAATGGCTACATTTTGGTGACAAAGTGCTAAGTGGAAAGATATCCCCCATCCCCTCCATCCACCCGTTGTTTCTTTTCTCTGTGACCTCTACAAATGTTGACTTTTGTCCTTTCTTGAAAGCCTTATCAGCTCTTCCAGTGCCTCTGTTTCCCAGCACATCCACAATCGAGCCTCTGCTGAAAAAAGCCATTGAAAATCACTCAACCTCATCAGATGGCAGCTGGGAGAAGTAAGGGGTGGAGCAGACCTGTCAACATGTCAACCTCACGACAAATACACAAACCAACGTGCACACACAGGCACACACTCACACAGGTTTGGCCGCACATCCCCATCACAGATCAATATTATCCACAAAAATGCCACACAAATAACATCAACTCATTTGAATGGATGGGTGGTTAGAATGTCAAAATGCCTTTGTAGTTCCACATCATTACCGACCTGTGCGTGTGTGCTTGTGTGTGTGTGTGTGTGTGTGTGTGTGTGTGACTGTGTGTGACTGTGTGTAAGAGCTAGTGAGGGACGGTGAAAGACAAAACATGCAGGGTTGTCAGTCAGGATGATGGACATGGCCTTTCACGGACTCACAATCACTTGACAACTGACCCCACAACCAGTCCTCCCCCCATAACACAAACACACACATACACACACACACACACACTCCAATCTTGTGGACTACACATTCCCCTCAGGGGTCCCAGAAAGACAATACTATAGTCAGCAACTATACAACTCTGGAGGGGCCCTGTCCATCCTTACATGAGGCTGAAAACAAAAGTGTGTGTGTGTGTGTGTGTGTGTGTGTGTGTGTGTGTGTGCGTGCGTGCGTGGACTGGGAAAAGTGCAGTAGGACATCGGGTGGCTGTTATCTTCGCCTCTTTGGCTCTGTGACTCTCGCCTGCTGTGTCTTTGTGACAGTGTGGACAACAGAATGGGGCGATTAAGTATCTGCAAATACTGTGCTGTGTGTGTGTGTGTGTGTGTGTGTAAGTGCTCATTAATAAAAGTAAATAAATCAAATAGTGATGGAGGGAACTCATTAAATATACACATAATAGAGACTCTTTAAATGGTGTCACTGCATTCGAAAGAAATATTACAACAAATTGAATCTATATCTGCCAAGGACTATTTGTTTGCCTTTGCTGATCACTCCAGCCGATGACCGAATAAGGACAGTATTACTGTAAGGTCAGATTCTGTACCCAAGGGCAAAAAACTCCATCAAGAGATATGTCCCACTTGTATGCCGGCCTGAAACTGATGGAAGAGGACCCTTATCCCATTATGTGTCACGGCGAGAATGCATCATCTCCTACTGAAAGGTTAAGGTCAGCTGTCAGTCAGCAGAAACACAGCTGGGAAATGAAGAGACCAGCACCGGGCGCACAGTGGCTGACATGCCATAGGATCATTTTCTATGTGATAAATTCTGAAAAAGATACCAAGAGCAGGTAAGGTTTGGTATGACTTTCAGAGAGTTAACACAAAACTAAACTGGCTAGAAGTGGACCTTTTAAATTGGTTTTAAAGAAAAGTCATTTTATAAGAGATATAGGAGAGAAATAATGAACTACTATAGGATGGCTTTTTGTAAATGAGTTTCAATCCTCAACTGACAAGGCGGTGACAGACTAAAAACTTTGTTCAAACACTTACAGAAACCTATGCATACATTCTCCTAACATGTGCTTTCTTGTGATTTTGTGAATTATGACTGTGTTCTCTCAGAAGAGTCATTTACTTTCCACACATTCTCCCTTCTGGTGTGCCACTTCAAACAGTGAAATGTTTTGTCACAAGCCCGCAGCAGCTCTTAGAAAAAAGTGGCACTTCTCTGTGCAGTGACAGAAAGTTTAGGCATTGACAGGAAAGCTTTTGAAAGTCAATTTAACGTGCTTTTCTGCGATTACTCACTGATCTTGCACTAAACAGTCCGGATGGGGTAAATCTATTCCATCCATCTGGCACAGCGAGCAGCTGAAAACAATGTTTAAGAGTAATTTGAAGCTACTACTTGTCCCCATGCCTGGTGCGCGAATGATAGCTTTTTAACTGTTCAGAAAAACAGTCTCAGGGGGTAAAGCCCATCTGCGATAGTAATGCATCGCTTGTTGAAGTGAGCAGAGACATCAATACAGCTAATATAAAAATGATTACAAACTACGCCTGGTGACATTTTTACCACTTTGCTGAGCACACCACTTATGATCGCGACAGATGCAGAGAGATACATCAAGAAAAACAGAGTGAGAGATTAAGGGGAGCGACTGAGAGATGGAAGGTGTGTGTGTGTGCCCGTCAGTGGGTGTGTGTTGTGTTTGAGAACTCTCTCAATCAACTTATCTTGATTGCGTATTTACATATCGTTTATAAAAATCATAGTTTGGCTAACACGCAAGCAAAGACACATTCACATGACAAACACTCTCTACTCAATGTCACACAGAAACACACACTGCCTGGCTGATAACCTACAGATGTAGTAGTACTCGTGTCCAGGCCTGAACTCAAAGCCCAGGGAGAAGGGAGTGAAGAGCTGGAACTTCTCCGAGAAGCGCAGGGGCCCGTCGGGGCCGCTGGGACGGTTGCACTCCCAGCGCTTGAAGCCACGCATCCTGTGCTGGCAGGAAGTGTAGCCCTCGTGGTTGACCATGAACAGGATGTAACGCTCCATGCGCCCGTGGGACGGAAGGCCCTCGTAGTAAGGGCAGTAGATGTCCAGGTAGTCGTTAATGTTCACTGCCACCCTGTACTCTCCGTGCCAGAACCTGCAAGACACAGAGCAAACAATGAATACAAACTTCTTCATGAATATAAATACTCACAAACAGTCTCAAGGATACACAGAGAATCAGTTTACAGGGGTGAGAAGGCTTCGGGAAAAGTTTACTGAGGTGTAATGAGATACTGTCAAGCTTGTTTTAAGAAGAAAATCTTTCCATACATCCAGCACAATACTATGAATATTTACTAGTTGTATTGGATTTCTGTATGATTGCACAGCATACAGAGAACAGCCCTGAGTGTCCACTTAGTTCAGTCATGCTGTGGCCGTAATTATATGCAATCTTATCCTCGCTGTGAGGACATTTATGTGCCTGAACATCTCCAGAGGGAGATCTGAAAAAGTCAGCTCCAATAAAGCAACCTTTGGAGACTCCACGCATTGCTCAAGGACGCTTCAACAAATGCTTTCTGATAGAGGGTCATCAAACAACCTGAGTCATTTCAAACTGCAGCAAAAATTCAAACCCGGAGGATGCTTTTTTTTCGATTTAATAAACAAGAGGAAAATGAAAAAAAATCAATAACAATCCCTCTGTTTACGCCATAAAACCTCGCATGGTAACCCAATTTAATTTAAATAAAGCTTGCCGAGCTATGCTTCATGGGAATTATTAGCATGTGAGGAATATTTTTTTGCACTGAGAGCCTTCTCCTCAGATACTCAAGAGAAGTGGGTCATGTGATGGTAGAGAGCGCACATTATTATCCCTCAGCCCCTAAAGCAGAGTATAGATTCTGTGGTGAATGCCCACTTAGCACCGTACACATCGGATCACCGAGGGTAGGCATGGTGAAAAGAAGTGGGTCAGAGGTTACTGGAGAAGAAATATTAGTATATGCACACATTGTCCATGGTATACATTGTGTTAGATGTCCTTGTTATGTTTCTGCTTCTGGCACTTAGTCAAAGAGCTTGTGTTCTAATAATGCATGGAGCATATGGATTCATAATATGGAGCTTGAACCCAGTTGGAGGCTCCCCAATCGCTTTTCAGACTGAAGGCAGTTAGAGTATATTAAAAAACATATGGCTGCTTACATTATACTACATATGTTTATAATTTTAAACTCACTGGAGTGAAACAGTCTCTCTTAAGGATAAAGCAACCGATATTCTATATTTTTGTTATTGTCAACAAATGCCATTAAACGATTAAAACCAACAATATGGAGCCTCTCTCTCTCTCTCTCTCTCCATACTCTATGGCTTCAACAATGTGGGTTTGGCTGTTATATATCTTATGAATGAGATTCTGGATATACATCTTCCTTAAAACGAATACATTTGTATCTTAAAAAGCAACTACGCATTATAGTTTTTAGCAAATTAGTTATTGTATATCTCCCTTCAGGCTACCCACACAATACTTGATAGTTAAATCAATTGAATTGCTGGTTTTGGTCTGTTTTTTGACAAAAAGATCATAGGAATAGCCCAAGAGCTTAATATTTACCGTGTGGTAACCTATTAGCAACATTTTACTAAAGCTTAACTCGTATTTTTTCACATTTAACGCTGAGTCAGGGCTCGAAATTGTAGTATTCGTCCAACCACAACAGTGTTTCATGTATAATGTTGCTTTCATATCAGCCCCCTGCTGTGAAATAATACAATACATCAGTGTTTTTTTTTAATATTTGATATTTTTAGATATTTTATTTACCAGCACTCCATAAATAATATATCCCAAGGGTTTGACTTGATAATCTTTTTTATTTGTTTGCATCTCTATCAACCCACGCTCATTCAAAATTCAAGTCTCACTCTTCAGAAAGCCATCTAACATATCAGATGACTGTTTGAAATTCATCAGCGTGACATCCCTTTGCGGGCATGTGCACACGCCTGCGTCGATAGAGGACGCCTAAACTAGCGCTCATCATGAATATAATCAATTTAATTTCAGATGTTTCACAACGACAGCATTTCTTAAATTCAGCTGCAGCACATTAGCAAATCTTGTTTCTCGAAGCTCGGTAAATTTGAGCAGCAGGAAAATGTCTTCGATCAATGCCCCGTAAACAGTTGTTGGGCAATCTCGACGTCTCAGGGGGCGCACACACACAGACTGAGCTTTTTAAACAAATTCATCATCTTCCCCCTCACCTTGGCAGTAATTGATTGCCTGGAATGAAGACATTTTTGGTCTAAGCACTTTTGGTTAGTGGGATATTTAGCTTTGGGACAAATTATCCCTCCAACGGCAACCCTATCTCTCTCCCAGAGGGCAAATCAGGAAGTGAGTTAGATGTGAAATGAGCGCCTTCATGCTTCGGTGCCCTATCAGAGCGAGTTTTGCAGGTTCTAAAGGGATCCTTGAACAGATCATTTAGAAGCATTGATCCACTGGGGAGCTCCTCTCGGCTCTCTCTGCTCCCAATCAACTCTGATTAACAACTAAAGGGGGAAAGCAGCGAGAGAAACAGAGAGAGGGATGCACAGAATGAGAATAAAAAGAACAGAGCGGAGGGAACAGAGAGAGTATGGGAGGAATATATATACGTGCAGAATAAGGACAAAAGCTATCAGAAAGAGGAGGGAGGGGGACGGAGAAGGATAACAAGACTGCATGAAATTAAAGTAAAACAAGACAGACAGAGGAGAGAAAGGCAGAAAGAAGGAGTAGAAGAGGAGGAGGAGGCCAGCTGGAGGAAGAGCAGATGGAGTTTTTTTATTTCAATTTGTACCACTGTGCTTTTTCATCTGAGACAAATGTGCTCTGCTTATTGATTGTGCACTGATACATTTATGGATGCCTACCATCTGAGTATTAGTTTGGGCATATACGATGGAATGTATGTAGTGCATGTGTGTGTGGGTGTGTGTATGTGTGTGTGTGTGTTTTGGTTCAATCATAGCTTGGAAGGAAAAGTATGTCTCCATGAGTGAGGATGCTCAATTCAAGAAAGGGCTAATGTGCCAGGATACATTAGGTTGTATTAAGCCACTCAGCGCCCTGCCCTGCTCCTGTGACACTGTCTGCATTACTAATATGCCCAGCTGAGAGGAGAGTGTGTGTGTGTGTGTGTGTGTGTGTGTGTGTGTGTGTGTGTGTGTGTGTGTGTGTGTGTGTGCGTCCCCCGTTTCCCTCCTCTGCGCTGGTATACAGTTAATGTCGGTGTGCAGTTGTGTGTGGATGTGTGTGTGTGTGTGTGTGTGTGTGTGTGTGTGTGTGTGTGTGTGTGCGTCCCCGTTTCCCTCCTCTCTGGCTGCGTGTCATTTGGAATTAAACTCGGGAGCTGCAGCAGCGAAAAAGACATTGGAATGCACTCACACTTACGGCATGTCTCTTCCTCATAGAGCTTATGTGTGTGACGTCTGTGTGTGTCGTTAGTGGAGGTTTTGGTGTGTCTCTCTTTCATTTTACCCCCTTCATTATTTAAGCGCCATCAAACCTATTAGAGACATCATAATACTCTGGGATATGCATGAAGCTGCCATAACACTAACAAAAAGTGACAATCAAAATGTATTGTAGAGTGTTTGACTATGATGTTCATTGACACTGCGTGAAATCCAACTATCTGCCCGATTATATACCTCAAGGGGGAAAATATACTTTTCTTTTCACTGGGATTGTCTAATTTTATGACACACAATAATCTATCCCATCATAAAAACGTAATAAACGCCATGATACAGTGGAAGTGGTGGAAAAAGTATGTATTATCAGCTAAATGTACTTAAAGTATCAAAAGTACTCGTTGTGCAGAATGCTTCTTATAAATGTGTTGTACAGAATATTATATTATTCCGATGTTATCACTAGAAAATACATATAAGAGTTTTAATGTTGTTCTTCGTCAATATGGAGCAGATTTAGGAAAGCACTGAGTAAATCACTAGTGAATAGTATAATAGGTAAACATGTGTTTGTGTGAAAAGTATCTACAAGTGTGCAACAAAACGTCTCGTTGGAGATACGTCATTGTCCATTTGATTCTTCCATTTCGTTCCGGGTACGACATGATGTCAAGCCGTACCCGGAACGAAATGGACCAATCCGTGGAGCCGTTATGTTACGTCCGCGGAGCCGTTACGTTAAGCCCCCGCTGATTGGTCCAAATTGACCAATCCACGGACTTCCTCACACACACCTCTGTGTGCAGGGAGCAGGCAGCTCAGCTGATTTCTCCTCCCTGGCTGCAGGCTGATAACAGACAGTTGGGATCGCGGCGAAATTCTCTCTGCAGACCCATTCTCACAGCGTTTATCAACCTTTTTCTTACTCAATATCAAGCCACACTTATTGTTTTTACTTCGGATGTGAGTTTGTGTGTGCTCAGGATGAGTTTGGCTGTGTTTCGCTATGTATCCTAAACAAGGAAACAACACCTCCACGGAGCTCAGCGCGATTCACAACGTCCCGACCAATCAGAGCACACTGTGCTCACAGGGAGGGTGAGGGCTGGAGCTTTTGGAGCTACAACGAGCCGTGAAATTCAGTGAATACACGTAGTTTACAGAGATGCTGTATGAGAAACCAATGTGAGTTTGGAAAAATGCACAGTATAAATCTATTCTAGTAGACCTCAACAATGGAATTATGATCAGTGGAAATGGCCATGACATGGGCCCTTTAACATAATTATTAGAAGCAGCATATAGTTGAGTTTGGCGTCTAGGCTCGGGCCTCATCACTCCACAGATATACATAGCACGATGAGTGATGATTAAATAACTAACCCCCAGAGCCTACAGGTGGAAGCTGGGGTGGTGGTGGGGCAGGCGAGCAGCAGCGACGTGGTAGTAGCTGCAGCAATAGCAGCAGCAAGCAATGCATAGAGAGAGATCTGGCAGGTTCAATAGAGCGGCACATTAAGGAGACTCTGTTTGGTTGGTTGTAGAGTGGCAAGGGGCGTTATGTATGAATGCTGCATAAGTGCTCGAGTTGACTGCCTGAACTAGCTCGCAGGCTTCGCCCCATTTCAGAAAAATGAAGTGAAGTACAAACTAGCAGAAAATGGAAATAATCAAGTC